ATGAGGTATAACGAAAGTACATCTGTATTTCTGGTTTCGGTTTGTTATTTTGATATAATAAGATTAATTTACTCGTGATTATAAATTCCTGAATTTGAAAGGGTATGCATAAGAAAATTAATCAGTTAATGAGCTATTTATGCAACGTCGAAGCGAATATAATGTGATATGTATACCTATATATGTCAAAATTAACCCAGCCATCGACTTTGATGGTCTATACTTCGAGGGTTACAAATTAAGTATTGAATGCTGCAATTTCATATTAAACCTGACACGTTAAACAGGTCCATAACATAAACGTCTGCGATTAACGTTTGAACGGATACTGTATACGCTAATAATAATTTATAAGGTACCTGATACCTTACAGTCAACAGCCAGGAACGTATCGTATTAATTAATTTTCTAGCCTCGGTAGCAAACTACAATTATGAAGCAATAAAGCAGCCCAAGTAGCAGACAGTAACAGTTTCTCTTTTAATTATAATATAAAGGGAGGTTACTATACTTACCGATAATCGCCGGCATCAAACAGCCAGTTAAGCAGCCTCCAGGTAGAATTAACTGTCAGAGCAACACCCATAAAACGTCCATAAAGTCAAAGCAATTTTTATTAATGAAACGGGAACTTATAAACCAAGATTAATCACGATCTTCGTTCTTTTAACCTTTTTGAATCTCAAACGACCCAACTGAATTTGCATCGATTAGTGTCTCGCCGTAAAGATTAATCATTTTAGCTCCGAACAAGAAACGGTGACATCGATATACATATAGACAACGTGATGGTCAAAATCTTAACTAAGAACACTTAACCCATCAAACATTTATTAAACGGTAATTACGAAAAAATATTTCTACACTCCGTAAAAACGTATCGCAGATAACATACGTATCATTCACTCTAAAGATACGATTTCTCTCCTATACACATAATGTGTCCCACATTCGAAAAGTGAACCGTACATTCGATTCCACTACGATCGATCAACAATACCATCCGAAGACGTACATACATCGAGAAAACAACGAGACTCTGGGTTCGAAGCCCGCCTAGGCAGCTTCAATTTTCTATTTACAGATGAGTCGATATGAACGGATGGATAAATAGGCGGGATTGTAATCGCGATCGCGTCTTCGCATTTGGTCCGATAATTACCATCAATTATCCTGTCCGATGATCCTCCCGATGGGCGTAATTAGCATTGCTACCGGCGGAGAGACGGTGAAAATAATCGCCCCCCCCCCCTCCCTTTCGGATATGTTCCCTCCTTTTCGTCCACAGTTGCGTTTCCTCCGCGTATCGATCCCCCTCCCCCTTCCGTGTTTCTTTCCATCGCGCCCGAGCTTTTTCCTCTTTCCGCCTTTCATCCTCGCCTATAAATCACTGTCGTTCCGACTGGACGAAATGTATCTTCCCGTCCGAATAGGATTTCTCCGTTTCGACGTCAGTCGGCGTCGATGCTGCGCTGAAAGAATCGAGAAAGATGGCGGCGATTGGGTTCTTCTATACACGTTTGATATGTAAACCGTGCAGTTTCAATGTCTCCTGTGATCAGACCGTGTCAAAAATTAAAAAAGAAATAAAGCTGCTTCATCAACCTGTTTATTGCTAATAACGTGAGATAAGGTAAAGAAGTTTTCATTGCCTGGGAGACAGAGAAGTAGAGGGAATGAAAAAGAGTGAATGTCAGTAGAAGAGAAAATGGTGACCCAGAGCATGCTAATTGTTTCTAATATTTGACAGCCATTCGGTAGAGTGTGCCGTCTAGTTAGTACAGTAAATCATCGATGAGTGTTCGAAGGCTCCTCTGCACTGAGTGTTCAGACGTCATCCCCACCACTGAGCGGTTGACTGGTTCCACGAGAATCCCCCCTCCCCCCAGTGGTGGAAATGACGTCTGAACGCTCAGTACCGTAGAGCCTTCGAACACTCATCAATGATTTACTGTATAGCGACCGGTATGATGTAGCGAGGCCCTACAGTCAATGAGCCAAGTTTCGTATTGTAAAAACTGAGGAATAACTTGCAACTACTAACTGAGCAAAAGATACAAATACTAAGCAGACACCACTGTACTACACTCTGAATTTGTTAATCGTGAGAACGACAAAACAGTACCTACTGCAGACCTGTTTCGAAACAATGGAAAAGGTAACATTATTAGAACATTTCTAACCTTCCAACGAGTACTGCGTTTTGTTAGTGGTCAGTGTACTTTTTTCTCGTTTCCCCTTTTCACCGGGTGTTATCGATAGTACGAACCGACATGTATGGATAACGAGCGTTTCGAGAGGGGTGAGAGGCGTGGGAAGCGTGGACGCGACGATTGCCGGCTCGCCAGTCGCCGCTTAATGACGGGCACACTCGATTTGGAAATTTCCGAGATCGAAACAACGCTCGTGACCGCAGACAGGGTCGATTCCAGGGTGGCACAGTATACAGGCTGCATAACTGCCAGTTTCAGCCGCGATATGACGCGCCATGAATAAGTCTCTATCTCTGCCGCTCGTTATGACGCGCGTAATGAGAACGTCGAAATTCAGACTGATCTCTTTTAACGCTCTACTCGCTCCCGTTATTTCCTCTAATTCGCCGGTGAATGTATCTACGTCGACACCGATGCGTCCGCGCGTGTCGAAATTAAGCGTCGAACTATTCCGACCGCCCCTATTGAGACTGACGAGGATCGATTTATTTGGTTATTCAACACCTGCGACCTGATTCGATGAATCGGGCCGATGGAATTTCTCCTGCGGAACGATCGACACTTTCGGTAGGAACGAAGCTAACGGTTGAGGATAAATGATCGTTCGAAGGAGAAAAGTTACTAAGCACGTTGAATGCCACAGTGAAAAGGGTCGTACGTAGTCAGACACACTTTATTTCGTTTTTTAAGTCTTAAATCGTCGAAAATATATGCGTTCAGATAATAGAGGCTGTTTGTTTTGAATTATACTGCGATATTATTTTTATGCACAAATTTTGTAACGGTGTTTAAATACTGTAAATCATCGATGAGTGTTCGAAGGCTCTTCGGCACTTAGTATTCAGACGTCATCCCCCCCACTGGGGAGTCCCCCGTGGAACCAGTCAAGCGTCCAGTGGTGGGGATGACACCTGAACACTCAATGCCGAGGAGCCTTCGATAAACATGACAAACTTTTGAAACTATACAAATTTATAAGTTAACCAATTTCTTCACTTTCATATTGAAATAAACGTTGTAAAAGATCCGAGGAAATGTATTGTGATAACATTTTTAGTATCGTTAAAAAAGCACACTAACCATTAATTTTGACTGCTTTGGTACTTCTAGTGTCGAACTACCTCATAAAATAGAGAGAAAGTACATAGAAACCTATACGCTGCAAAATTTTCCGAAAAAAATTGTTGGAAAAAGAATAATTTCGCATAAATTTTGATCAATCATACGTAAAAGAGAATACATGGATCACATTTGAATATGCCAACGAGTGACACGTTTTTCCTTCGATGTATCAAAAGAAAAATATCAGATCCAATACGACCGAAATTGACCGAATACGAGAACCCCGTTTAAGCCTTAATTGCGTCGCAATGGTCGCGAATAAAAATAAGGCGGAATCGTTAATTCTCATTATCTCCCTTGCCTATCCATATACTCCGGGGTAGGGGGTTGTTAAAACGACCCGGGGAGCTCGACCTCGTGGCACATTTACCCGTTCAGATCGCGAAGCGAAGGAAGGGTGGGGGACCGTTGAAAAGCGACGTCGCATTCTGACGTCCTCTCGCCGTCGTAGAATAGAACTCTCGCGCGTTACTCGCCGGTAGCTCGCTATATAGTAATTAAAGTAATGAGGGATAAACCGCCCGAGGTGACTCGTAATTTATCCGCGACTGCTCCTCCCGACAAGCTCGTTATTGTACGCCGACTTTGCGCCGAGCGAAGTTCGTCTCGAATGGAAGAATAGGGAGCCGGCGATATACCTCGGTGCAACTCTTTCTCGCCAGTTTCACGCACGGTTCTGACTGATACAAATTTCGAATATTTTTTCTATTATTACAATCGCCTTTGTCGTTGGAAAAACAGGAAATAGAGTATTCGCCTTGAATGATCCCATAGCGTGAGGTAGCAGTAGTCAGGTGAAGACAGCTGCGAGTCGCCGGAGAATAAAAGCGTTCACAAAAAAGTCATGTCAACTGGGCTATGAAATCTCCCATTGACATACTACTGACGAAATCTTAAAAGAAACACTGTCCAACAATAGAACCGAGAATACGCTATTCGTACAAAAAACTTTTGAAAATACTTTGACATTGGACCGATCTTAGCATAACGTTTTAACTCTTAATCTCGTGGGTCGTTGCGGGAAACTGGGCTAGAAAGCACGAGAAAAGTCGTTAAATTCTTTCGCGAATGAATTTTTACAAGCGTCGACTTTCCAACTCTCTATTCTGTCGCGTTATCGCGGGGACGAAGATCCCTTGCGTGGAAATTCCTCACACCGTGGCACACGCACGGCGCGTTTGAACAACGAGCACGAGCATGGAGAAAGATTATTCGTCCGTGGTCTGCGTATAATAGATTAAATTTCCCGCGAAGAATTACGCTAGAGCACGGGTCGAAATTACTCCGAGCAGCGTGGAACAGGCGGGCGTGGTGGGTCCTTCTAAAAGTTTCAAGCAGTTTTCTAATTTAAACTCGGCCACAGGATCTCTCTCAGCCCTCGGTACATTAAACCTTCGTTTTATCGCGCGGAAATATTTATGCGAATAATGATCTTCGAGGTCGCGAATATTTCCCGTCGACAGGGCTGAAAGCTGCCCTTATCGAACCTCTATCCAAATGACCGGTGGCCTATAAAAACGACTTTATAACCGTGTAAAAGGGAGAAGAAGAAGGTCCCTCTCATCCGTAATAAGGACGTACGATTAGTCACGGGTAGCTGGTGTTCAGGCGCAGATGGCGAACGTGCATTTTCATAAAAACATTTTTACGTGCTCGTTGTTTCAGGACACCGACCGGCCTGGAGGACGTCAGCAAGTACCCGGAACTGTTCGCGGAATTGTTGGCGAGGGGCTGGTCGGAGAAGGACATCCAAAAGCTGGCGGGGCTCAATCTAATTCGTGTCTTCAAGGCGGTGGAAGAGGTAAATGGTCCCGGATGATGTTCTCTCTTAGATCCACTGCTAATTGAAATCGTTCTGGGGTACCGTAGAGCAGAGATGGACAAATTCGTTATCTAGATAAGGAGTTTCGAGTGAAAGATAAAAACGTGTTTCGTCATTTTTCATTGATTAAATGTGGAAATTTGTATTATTATTATAAAGTAGTATTTCTTATCGAATGAGTATTTAAATCTTGGATACTGCTGCTTTTCACTGTGAATTCTTCGAAGAAAACTGTGCCCAATTCTGCCCTACAGTAACCTGGATTCTGTAGTAGGACCTACAGTGAGTGATCGAATTATTGTAGTCACAGTATGAAAAAAAATGATTTTTGTGTTTGTGGTAAAAATAGAATCGAAATATCAACGATTTTACGCAGGATAATTGTTAATTAATTGTCCACTAGAATTGCAGAAAAAATTAAACGCGTTTAAAAATTCGGTTACATCGTTCAATATACCTCGATGTTTTGAGGAATGCGGATGAATCTGACGAATGAACAAAAATCAATTCTTACAAAAATGCACATCTCGTATTGTTTTTACAAATTCTTGTAGATAAATTTAATATTTTTATATAGTATTATACAGTGTCTAGTAGGGATCAGGCGTGACAATTCTTCGGTATAATTAAACAAGAAATTTGAGAAAGAAATTCTATAAACAATTAAATAGAAACGTGAAAAATTATTGAAAGATATAGTCAAACATAAATAGCAAGTGCACTCATCCTCCCGAGTTGACAAGTCAAATAAAAATAATACAACAGAAGAAAGCTGATGTGACAAAAGCTACTGGCCAACAACGCAATGAACCTACCCATTGGAGGATAGTTCGAGGGCAGCGCCAGCCTTCTCTTTCCACAATATATTCATATCACGATCTCTCAACAGAAAGGTTAAATCAGTCTAGGCCAAGCTCTGTTGTATTCGACACGCGGCCAGCTTCATTCTCGTGTCACAAGGCACGAGCCCGAAGAAAAGGGGGTCGGGCAGACTCAGGAAAAATCATCGGGACAACGTGGTTTCTGGCGCGAAATAACCGATGGCCAGGAGAAACCAGGTTAGCCGAGTCGACCAATATCGGATTTAATAAAGCACACAAATCATGGATCCGCCGGTGCATCATCGCGCGAAACGGAGGTTCCTGCACAGAGCGTGCAACCCGCCGCTCGACGATTTTTGTTCCGTTGGACTCCTGCCAATCCCAGAACCAGCTGGTTCGAGCCTCCTCCACCGACTCCGTTCCCCCGACCTGCCATCCGTCTGTTCCATGATTTGTACCTATCCAGGTCGACTGTGTGGATTCGTGGCACGGTGCACGTACATCGAGGGAATCATATGTCCCGTCGCTGTCTTCTCTAGATCCCACGTGTTAACGTTTATCCTCCGTTCTCGGGGGATGAAAAAACCAGATGGGATGTAATAGAATCGGTAGCCGGGGCGAAATATCCCTGGATGAAACAACGAGGATCCGAAACACAGTGTACAGTTCAGTTTTACGATTTTTTTTTATCTCTCAGAGCACTGCTTCGTGAGAAGTGCTGAGTGTGAATGCGTGCAGAGGTTCGGATTAGTGAATGACTGCACTCCCGGACTAGTGCTTGCGAAAGTTAACTCAGGACTTTTTTTTTTCTTCTCCAGAATTTTCTTCCACATCTTTGTCCCATTTATTTTTGGTATACAGGTTGTTTCATGTGATACTAGTTTTTTTCTGGATCTGACAAATGGGTGAACGAGAGACGAATAGAGGAGGTGGGCCAAATAGAGGGTAGGGACTAAATATGGACTCGAGGCGGAATAATGAGAAACTACGACTCAGGAATAACAGAAGGTTATTTAACTTTACATCATAAAGCAAACATGTTTTGTATATTCAACAGTTACTCCAATAATTTGTTAGTATTAGTAGACATAGAAGAAAATTACACCGTGCCTGTCTGGAAAATTTGTTTCGAATCTAGTCAGCGTCCAGGTGATTAACCCACTGACGACCGTGGGTTTTCAGCTTCTCCGAAAGATATCGCCGTGTTGGAATAAAATACTTAAAAATAGATTATTCTTAAATATAATAACGAGAAATTTTAACCTAGTACAGTCAAATTATTATTTTTCCTAAGCAACCTATAGAACTGAGAAAAAATAAATATTTCAAATAGTAGCGCTAGAAATGGTAGATTAACGTGGCATACTGGTACACTTATGGTCGTCAGTGGATTTATCGATCCTTCGTGAGGTCCAAATACAATGCACCTGAAGTTCCAGCAAATACTGCAACTCCCATCCCATCGAAAAAAACGTTAATACCAACCTATCTGCCCCAAAAATTACCCTAATAATTAAACCACCCATTCCACGACATCCTCGGTATATTCTCACGCGTATCCTTCCATTTTTAGTCTCGCGATCAGCTCCAGGCACGGCCATCTGGATCTGACAAGCGGCCGAATAAGAGACGAATAGTAATTTGTATCGCGTCGTGACGTTGCATTTAAACCGACCGTTTTTACGAGCCAGTAGACGATAGGAGGGGGGGGGGGAAAATTAATTTTAAACTTGCCCAGCTTCCGCTCGTTCGTCGCTTCGACGCGCCTTTTTGCTCGGGCCACGTCGTGAAATATCCATTTGGCAGCGAAATCAAAAGCTGTGCCTAGCTGCCGAGCAGAGCCAAACCCCGTTCCCCTGTAACTCGCCCTCGACGGGATATTACTCGAATTACACGGACGGCTCGTAACGCGAGAAATTACACGCGTAAACAGTGCCGCGTGTTTGACGAGCCTCCCCCTGCCCGCCTAACTGGCGGGAAATTACTGTGATAATTTAATCGTGACCTCGATGGCGCGGTAACGACAGTAGTCGCGAAACAGAGGTCACCGACGCGCGATGGCAATCCACATGGAGGGATAAAATGGACAGTGTAATGGGTGGGGTCGCGCGTTGTTATTGGGGTTGCTTGAACCCTCGAAGAAATTCGATACGACTCGTCACGAGGCCCTAGCGTTTCCGTGCGATAATGGATGAAGTTTCCTATTGATCGAATGTACACGTAAGATCTACGTTGCTGTAACCTGATCGACGATTCGATTATGTCATATATACTTGAGCGAGTTATTATCAGAAATACAAGAAAAGTAAAGTAATGAAAATTGCAAAAACGAAAAACCGTAATTGTTCCGGAGAGAAATTTCGTTAAGGTCGTCCTGCTAATAGCAACGTTGAAAGTTCTGCTCGTGGACTTGGGAAATTTGTCCTAGACTCCAGAAAAGCAAATCGTCCGTCCAAGGGGACAGTTACCTGCGAGGAAGACTACTTTCTCCGCGGAACGAATCTCCTTCGTCGAGGAGAGCACGTCGATTTCTATCTCGAATGCTGGGAAAACGTTCCGAGCACGCCTTACCTGGTACACACCTGCCCGTTTCTCGCCAAACGTACGAGTCCGTTCGGGCCATGAAGGGTGGAATCTTTGAACGATTTTAATCCCCAGCCTCGTTGCAATCCTTGGCCACCGACTGCTCGTTACTCGGGACCGAGAAACGTCCGTAATTGTTAAAACAATAGACCGTTCCCGCCGCGAACCTGGTGAAACGGCGACGGAATTCTCTGCCTGGTGGAATTGGATTCCGACGACGCCCCATCCCGAAGAAGGAACGAAATTCGAGGACCCTTTGAAACAATTCCCTTTTCGTAGGTCATCGCTTCGGATGGGAACGTTATTGAAGATTGAATATTTATAGGAGCGGTCTATGCCTGGAGGAAAATTCAGTGGAAAACTCGTTAATCGTATTCAAGCGCCGATGTACGAGGGACGAGTTGTGTGTCTCGGAAGGAGGGTCTGGAATCGTGGATGGTGCGAAGACTTCGGGATGATTCAAGGTGAACAACCGGGAGATAAAGTACCCGATACTGACAAGGAAGATTAAATAGTAGAGAGTTGAATGGAGGTAGTGGATAATAGTGATGGAGCACGAGGAGCCCATTCGATCGAATTATAAGGTTGCCGTGGAACTTGGCTCACCTGCTGAAGACATGGGGGCCTATGTTGGTCGACGTTTTTATGTTCTTCGACGCGTCTGGTGTTTTGAACACCCTTGTTACGGTAGATTTCGCCGTGAACCACGCGTAGTAGATGCTGGATATAATTAACTGTTACCAACATTGTGGATGGTAAGTCTTTTCAACAACGATGACGATTGTCATTGTCGATAACACAGCACTAAATTGTCAACGGCAATTTTGTAACTTTTCATCTTAGTCTTACTTTATTATGTATTGTAGAATGACCAGTTTAATTTTCTGACCTCTGGTATCGAACACCTTGTATATTATGCATATTAGTAGAAGATTTAATTTAGTGTACACTCAACATTGGTAATTCTAGTGTTCAAAGAGGAAAGGGTGAGATAATGTTCCGAATATAAAGCATTTATAACACACACCATTCTTTAAAACTCACAATCAGTATACAACGATGTTTAATGAAATTAAAAAATTTCTATTTTTCTTGTAACTTAACCAGCTCACCATATCTTTTTGGTATCTTGTACAAAAAAATATTTTCCTTAAAATCAAGAAGCAATAATCCTTTAGTACTATTTAAAAAATTTTTTAAATATTTTCTTTTTTAATAAACAATGTGTTTTTTCACGATAAATAACGAACTAGCAGTCCCAGTAACACCGTTTTTCTCATTTTGTTAAACGAAATCTTTTATTAAAAATAGTTTTGCACGCACAATATGTGATTTGTTGCCTCGCGTCTTCAATGTCTGCAAACTAAATAACGTCGATACTTGTTCATCGTCTTCTGCGCTTGAAAAATGAAAACCGCCGATTCACGTGTCCCGTCGACAATCTGTTAATAAACACGATAAAGATCTATGGTCACGCAACCGTCCGCAGTCCATCGATCTATTACAAATAAATAAAGAACTGCTCATCGGTGGATCTAATAATTCCCCAGTTCATAGATTCACATTATAAAATTTCCTCAACAATTCAACCATTCAACCAACCACAAACACCACAAAGTCAATATAAAAGTAATGAATCTCCCACTTAGTTGCAGACAAAAGCACTACGTTTCACCCAGCAATCCGTTTTAAACGACTAAATAAAAACTCCGCGGCGCGTTTCATCGTGCCGCTCGTCATTGAAAAATACACGCTCCCCTCAGAAACAGATAAAACACAGCCGTGCGTTGAAAAAAAAAAAAAATAGAAAGAAGAAAAAACCGCGATTTTGTGCGCTATCTCGCGATTCGAGGGTGGGCGAGATGACCGATGACGCGTTCCATACCGCGACCCGAAATAAAGGGCCTCGTTACGGTCGTGAGAGGGGAGCGAGAAAAAAAAAGGAAGACGACACTGTACGTTTGATTAAAACCGTACAGGATTTATGGACAATATCTTCGGCGGAACGGGCGTTCGTCGTTGCCCCGGGAATCGTCCCGGCGTCCATTAACATTTTAATTTCCCGCGACGGTTCCACGGAGGAGCGTTCCGCGCCGCGACTGTAAACGTTGCCGGTGGTAGGGGGTTCGGTGGGGTGAAAAAAAGGAATTCAATTTAAAGATAAAACGCAGAGGGGAGGAGCACGTATTACGAACGGAGACGTTCGTAATGTCGCCCAGCGATGGTTTACGCGACGTTTCGCGAATAATGTGGATTTGATTGCGTCTGTGACTACTATCGTTTATACAGAGTCACAGGCGTTAGTTGTTCACCAAAGTTGGGTTTTTGTTTTATTCATCGATGGTTCGGAAGATTTTCCATGTTATATTTTATTAAATGTACATAAGTTATTCTTTCGTGGACTTTCAGGACCACCATTGTATACATAACTTAGAAAACCACCCTAAAATTTTCGATCCTTATGTCTGCGGTTAAAATAACACTGGACCACTTTGTTTCTAGGGAATATAATCTATCCTATTCTGGAGAAACATTTTCTGGAGTAAAAGTTTCAGATATAGCATACTTGGTTCGTTTTTATTTTAACAACAATACATAAGATTGAAAATTTTGGGATGAAGAATGGAAATAAGCTTGATATTGATTAGAATTTATAATATTCGAAGATTTGGACGTTCTGTGATGAAGATTTATAATAGTATAGTATTTTGACAATAGTATGTTAAGATTGATTTAACTCTTGAAAGGCGTATATTCATGATTTTTGAGTGACCCTCATTGACTACGGTCATTGAAATCGTCTTGAGAATGACGACAATCGTAGGTGTTGAAAAACACTTGGTCCGCTTTAAAAACTCAAGGTGACCTTGAAATCTCCTGAGCATCTTCGCTTAGGAAAAAGTTCTCTTCCCCACTTAATGGCTCCCCATTAACCAAACAGCTTTTGTATCAAACATATCTTCCTATCTCCAAAATTGTCTTCGGTAACTAACCCTATATAAATACTATCAAACACTAATAAACTCTTCGTGTTACAACGTTTAGAAAGTTAAAAAGTATTAGAAATGGATAAACATCCCTAGTCTACTAAAAACATATAAATCTCCCCGCAATCTACTCGCAACGAATAAACGCAAGACAAGGGCTGAGTCCAAAATAGTTTTCAAGATTGCAATCCTCGAGCAAGAAGATGAGGGAAGGATTCCCCAAAGATATCGAATAAAAAGCAAAAGTCATCAACCTTCTTCGCCCAGAGAAACTTTGCTCCCCATAGCCAGGCACTCGATGCTTCAAGAAATACCTCTTTTGAAAGGTATGCTCTCGAGCGGGGCGTGAATCGCGAGGATCGGCGCGGGAGGGAACGAGCTGTGTTCAACGATTAAAAAGCAAAAACACGGGTGCAGGATAAAGGGAAAAATGTGGGGTGGGGTGGTTGGCTTAGGAAAAAAGTTGTGAACATCGGTTACGCGTTCGCCGAGCGTCGAAAGCCTCGGCCGAACCGTAATGGCCGTGGAAGGTTAATGGGCTTACCGAAAATTGATGGTGGCTGTGCAGGGTCGCATGAAATACGTGCACCGCGAACTTTTTCCCCTCCCTGCCTACCCGATTGCTCCCGCCGTACAACCCTCTCTCGCCCACATTTCCCCTTTTTCTCCACGACCGACGATCGCCGAGCGTGATTTTTCCTGAGAATATTCGCGACGCCATGTGCACCGTACGAGCGAAACCGCCATTGCGTGCTCCGCGAGCCTTTGGGAACTCGAACCACCATCGTGAAAATTGATTGACGTTTTTTTTCTCTCCCCTCGCCGGCCGTCCGGTATCGGAAAACTTTCGGTTCCGCTCAAGAAATTTCCCTGCGTTATTACGTAGTACGTTCTGAACATTTAATTCGGCGGGATTCGAGACAAGAGGCCCTCTTCTTGCTTTTGGAACACCTGGTGGATTGGGTAATTCGACGGCCGACGAAAGGGGATTCCTGCGAACTACATTTTTTTATTATCAGCTGGATCAATGAGTGATTCGGTGATCCTCGACCTGTGGTCAAGGCATAGAAGAAAAACAAAAAATTCGAGAAAGATATTTAAACTATTGGGAAATTAATAAAAAATCACTAAACTATTCAGCAGATTCTCAAAGTCGTCTTTCTCGAAAACAAAGTCTCGAATAAACAAAAGTGATTTATTTCTTAAAAAAAAATATTATTTTATATATCAAAAATATTAATTTATTGAGTTGTGTTTTCACGTAGAACACAGTAACATCAAGTTACACGTCACTCTGTATATGTTTATCGTCGGTAGTTGTAACTATATTTCACCCTAAACCATACCGTAGCAACAATATTCGTGGCTCCGTCGTTTTTATTCTTCCCGAAAGGAAATCAAGAGACAAATCTTCGTATTCGCAGGTTCGTGACAAAATGGCCGCGGAGGGGATCGAGCCGATTGAAGAGGAAATTCCGCACGAGGACATCATCGGCCGAGATTACTGCCGCTACAACGTGAAGCGGCTGATGGCTCCATAGAACTACTCCGGTCTATAGAACCAACGAAGAAAGGCCGGCAGAAGAAGAACGCGAGAATCGAAAGATCGTTGTCTAAGCGAAACCAGCGTGGATGGAGAGTGTGTGAGGGGGTGTTCCTTTTAGAATCGTTCCGATTCGCGTGCCCCTCGCGTCTACGAACCTTCCTCTCCTCGTCTCTTCTTGGAGACCTTTTTCCCGCGTTCGCGCAAGTAGATAGGCAAACTTGATTCCCATCCGACGATTTCCGAGAGGCGAAAGGGACAATGTCTACCTGGAGACCAGCGTGTGAAGATTCAAACGTGAATCGTCTCGCGGATCTCTCGTCCTCGATCGTCGTTCGAAATTGTGATTCGCGTGAATGTTGAAAATCTTCGAAAACATAAAGGAAAAAACGCGAAGATCGAGGTACCTCTTCGGTCAACCAAAGACTTACGAGGATCTAGAAACGGACTGTATACTCGATGTTTAAGCTGCACTCAACGATTTCTTCGTCGATGCTGGAACCAAAAAAAAAACAAAAAAAATAAACTGTTCTAGTCAATAATAATTATATATGCTATATATACGACAAAGAAAAACTGTACACATAACATGATCGATCTCGGGAGAACGAGTGCGACCGATCTACCGGGTTTCGAGAGTGAGTGGAACCGTTTCGTATGAACGTGTGTGAGTGGGAGAGAGATGAGTAACGATGCTTGTACATATGGTACCTGAAGTCGAAGAACATATTGATCCTATCCCCGACCAGGGGGACCGGCCAGGTCAGAGGTTTAAAGAGAGACTCGATCAATCGAAATGTTTCGTTTGATTTCAACCGTGATCGTGGATTTTCTGTTCGTAACCGTCAGCCCGTAAAGTATATGGATTTTTCATCTTCGAAAGATCGAAGACGCCGGCCGGTTCCGATCGGTCTCGGGACGGGAACGGAGCCTAGATATGGAGTTAGACTTGAAGGAGCTGGAAAATATTATCGTTGACCAACCGTGAACGCGTGTACCCGCGAGTACTTTCCTACGATTTTGCACGATCGAAGTTGACCGACCACGCGCGCCACCCTTCGCTGTTTGTATTCCACGTTACCCACGATTAGACGGCCATTGAAACGGCGCCGTCTCGTTGTAAATGGGTGAACCGACACTTTAAGACTCGTGTATTCTACTAAACGCACCGGATAAATATCCTTTCTTAACGATGTTTTTACACTAAAAAGAAGAAAGAAAAAATGAAACTTTTAATACAGCCGAAATTTTAAACGACCGCCGTCGAGAACGAACCGGAAATCGAAGAATAGAAAAAAAAAGAAAAAAAAAAGATATGTACAAGACGAATATCATCAACTTCCCTCGTGCCATCGATATTACCATCCTCGGTCGTCGATTATCACCCGAGCGACTCGCGTTCTCATTTTTGCGTTTCTCCCCGATTAAATGAAATTCTTTCTTATCGATCGATTCGACGACCATTCGTGTGCAAGTAGTCGTGATCAACGAAGCGCCCCAGCCTCGTGAGTATATCCTAACATTTCAAAACGTTACTGATACCCGAAATAAAATCGACGACAGATCGAAATTATGGTCGTTATTCAATTGAAAAAATGTCTGTATGTTCATTCATGCCATTCATCCTACCTTTTACAGGGCTCGAAAGTCTACCGAAGATAGCTGATGTAAGATAACAACTGAAGGAAATGCAATTGATTTTAGAATATAATAAGAATTGCATGTTAGGTCTAAGGATACAATGCCACGTGACCTGGTACAAAATGATAAAAAAATATGGAAGATCGACCACAGAGCTAACATTGACACTTAAACTCCACGCTATGCAATTTTACTATTTTTATACAATCACTTGTGTTCTTCATTTTGATTCACAAAATCTAAACTTTCACCACGAACAATTCAAGCCGCCAGTCGAAATACAGCATTCACACAGATTTAACCATAGTGAACAGATCCACGTAATTAATAAACTGCTTGTGTTTATGCATTTACGACATGCAAGATCCTCTGAAAATCAGTGCATTAAGAATTTCGTAATTTTTTAATGAGATTTCTCGTTTATTTGAAGCTGAATGAAATCCTTAATAGAGTGAAAAAATCTCAAGTTTAATTCCAGTTTCTGCGAAGTAATCTATATAACTATATTTCCATAAACGTTCACGAGCTAGTGATGAAGTTCCATGAGTGCGTAATTTAAAAGCGTGAATGAATTTCTAGCTCCAACGAAAATTGTAATGGTACTAAAACTCACTCCCCAGATCCCAGTCCCAGTGGCATTTTTTTTATTCCTGAAAATAAAACACCATCTATTTTGATGAATTAAACCTCTTAAGAAAAGAAGACGTCCAGAATTGTTTCGAGGAACAGGAGAAATGTCTCCATCGGTGCGTCGTTACCCAAGGTAACCATTTTGAAGAGAATCGGTTTGATTTTAAAAAATTGAATATAGAAAAGCCTTTGCAAATACAGTTTTATTACTTTCCAGATCAGATCACGTACGCTGCTGATCGTAAATATTAGGACACCTGGTCTAAAAAAAGAATATTTATTTCACACTTTCAACAACTTCGTAATATCTTGTCACATTTATGTGGGATCGGGAACTCCATACCCAACAAAGGAGCAAATAACATCTTGGGGAAAATAGGAGGGTTCCGTGGAGCAGTGGGTAGAGTCTCTGCTTTCGGCACCGGGGGTCGTTAGTTCGAATCCCGCTTGGGCCCCCTCTCATTTTTTAGACGCTCCTACATTTAATGTCTATTCGATAAGTGTTCGTAATACTTACGAGCGATAGTGTACGTCACACATTTGTGGTTTAACGATCAACACAAGAGGCCACAAAGGAGGATGAAAACAAGAATCATGGCGGAGACAGAACCGAAGGTAAACGTTCGGGCTGTAAATGAAGCGCAACGATTCCTCCAATTTAGGAGTAACAAACGGCATCGCTGGTTGCTGATTCACGCAACGCGTAGGAGCCAATCAAGTGCAAAGCACACGCGTTGAAATCGTAAACGAGGCGGCCGCACGGTTTATTGGCATTTCGAGATCGTACGTGCTGTAAATTCCGACCGGGGCTTGATTAGATTGTCGTTCCGCGGATTTGATAACGGCTGATTACCTATCGATCGGATAAATCAATCGATCCCACGTAGAAAGGTTCACGCAACAAGAGTAGCTATCGAGTAATTAGAATTCATTCTCCGTTACATGATCCGTGTCGTTGTTCTCGTTAACTATTACCACTTTTTGTTTGAGGTTGTTGCATAATAAATATCGTTTTTCAACACCTTCATTTCAACTATGTTACAAAAGGTTAGAGGTAATTAAGTTATAAATAAAAATAAGTGAATAATAAAATATCGTTATTTTAAGGTATATTCGAATCACTGAAACATTGCAATCTCAAAACGATATTTATTATTAATAAATAGTTCAATAATTATAGAATGTGGTCATAACTTCTGGCGTAAATATGTGGAGTTACTAAATAAGTAATAACTAACTAACAGAAAGTACATATTTAGATTGAATACATATAATTAATTTCGATAGCAACTGATAATGGTTAATTGATTCGCGAGGTCACGCAAGTAGATATTTGAATACACGCGGTGTATGATCCTGCAACCAAATTATCGTAATATCTAAACACATAAATACCATTCAATGGTGATCACAGCCGTTGTATTTTAACTTTAATTACTATACTGAACGTTCACTTCATTATTACAATAAACCTACAGAATAAACATACCAAATAATACATCAAACAAGTCAATACACCAATTTATGGCATCCACAAAATTTCAGCACATCGAGATCCGCAGCAAACGTATTAACAGATTAATATTATTTGAAAACTCAAATCGGATTAAAAACGAAATCTCGGATCGTAAGAAGTTTAAAGAAAAAATGACGGAAGTTATTTACAACCAAACTGTGAATCTTTATGCAAAATCATATTTCCTTGTTATAACAATCAAGAACTGTTGTTAAACGGTTTAACGATTTCATTGTCTTAAAACTGACATCATTAAATTTCCAGTGAAAAGTTTCATTCTTTCATGATTCAATGACCTAACTAAATCGCAGCTAAACCGTTCCACCGCGTAATTCTTACTCGTCACACTTTATTACTCGATATAACGAACGCGATTCTCTATTCTTTCTCCGGCCCGCAAAATAAAGTAACGTTAACGTCATTCTAAAGTCTCGTGCCAGAAAGTTTAAATCAGATTCGCGGGCCACAAGGGTGTAACAAGTTTTCGCTTTCTAATCGTTTAAAAGTGCCCGGGACAAAAGTATCGCGCGGGAAGTTTGAAAGACGGGCGCGCGGGAGGGTTTGAAAAAAAAAAAAAGGACAAAAGATGAAGGATAAGGTGTGACCGAAGGAGCAACGTTCTTTCTCCGGTGATAATTAATTTCCCGGCGTTTCTGCCTCCCTAACGAGCTCGTTAAAAAGTTTTGACACGTTTAGACCCGGATTCGGCCGTGCAAAAACCATTTAAGCTTCTTTCCCTCGGCAGGCCGAGGCTGAATGAACAGTCAGTTCGTTGCTTCGTTCAATCTTCCATCGCGAACGAACTACCCTTGGTCTCCATTTCGTTCTCACCCTGTCCCGCCTCCTGTCACCTCCCCGTGAATTTCGAGACGGGCTAATCTCTGTCCCGTAAGAAATTACAGTAATGTCTCGATAAGTGCGACGTACCCTAGCCCGTTTCGGAGCATTCATGGCAAGTTGGAAACGTTTTCAGCCTTTCATAAATTTGTTTTCTACCCGAAGCAGAGCCTCTGCTTAGCTTCTGTTTACTCTGTTTTCATTGATTCCAGAGGGGGATCCCCCCAGTTATGGGAATAATGCCGTTTATGGCCGACTTAGTGGAACGATAGGAGTCGGTAAAAGACACTAGCATGAAAGTCCAAGTCACCGTAATTACCGCGATTAGCGGAAAAATGATTAAGATGGTGAATGGGATGGTTAATGAAACGAAAAGTGGATCGTGGATGATGGATCTCGTGGAGTTTTTGACCAAC